TACGCCAGTTACGGCAGCGTCGTACCAGTACCATATCGATGGAGGAAGAACTACGACATGTGCAGAAACATCCGAAAATTAAATCGCAAACGTTCTATCCTTGCCCACCACCAGCCGAGAATGGAGGGGACTCGGACACATCTGACGATGATGATGATCCCTTTGGATATATCGACACACTTGTAAGCATTCTACACACGACTTCTAACTCCTAGTTTCAAAAGATATCGTTACTAAGAATAAAAAGGATAATGAGAAAAGCAAAAGACAATTTAGAGTACAAGTTGAATTTGATTTGATTACTAAAAGTGAAAGATGAAAAAAGCGAACTAGAATTTTTTGGCTTGTTTAAGCCATCTAATAATAAGTATTTCAATAATTAGAACTTGTTGATAAGACTTTATGTTCGGCAATTGGTTAGCGCGTATTTATCTGATAAATCTAGTAGGCAATAGAACACAGACAGAAAGCGGCACTAAAACAAAACCATAAACCCATTTGACTGATTTCTTTTTAGTGACGCAATGGGTTTTATATTGTAGAAGTATAATATTGTTGTTTATCAAATAAGATTTATACATATTTGATTGCTATATGCCCATTAACTCTCTCTCGCTCTTGATATCTTTACATTTTAACTGCAAGTTAAAACTGTTGCTAACGGATCAGATACCATAACACGGCCTCTCATTGACAGCAATAAAACACAAAATCTAATCAAATAGTGCTAATGAATATATATATATATATATATATATATATATATATATATATAAGAGGAAAACCCCACAGAAGCTATAAATATTTTCTTTCTAGTTATTTCCCCTCTTTTTCCCTCTGTCTAACTGCATGAATGCTAAGATCTTGGAATGTATAAATCCTAGAATCACCAAACTTGGAATACTTACAAAAAATGTTAATAGGAAATAATTAAATTTTACCAATTTGCTATAAAAAGTGAGAGGCAGATTGATAAAATACCTTTATACACATTTGAATAATTATTTTAGATGATAGAGTATATTAAATTTTTAATGAAAAGACGCATAGCTTGAAGTAGGCATTTATCAAAGAATTTATAAATTATTTTATTTTATTATAAAATGATCAATTTTACAGTAAAATTTGCTTAGCTGCAACCAATACTTTGCACAGACTTTTCAAACATAACTTTAATTGGTTATTAAAATTTATATCTTTTGCGGTTTGTTGACAATATATGAAGTTGTATTTTGTTATTGGTTATTATATGTACATACCTAATTAATTTTCAATGCGGTTTCAGTGATTAAGTCGATATTACATTTTTTAATAACATCAACTAGCATTGAAATATAGTAGTCTGTAATTTTACCTTTAAAACCCAAGGATCAACAGCGACTATAACTATTAATCGTAATTTCATTAATTGTGCAAAAACCGGACAAAAGGAATCGTCTCGACTTGCCAATTATTTATTAAGTATAATTGTGTCCTCCATGCTTACGTCATTACCTTACATTTTTTAAGGGAACTCGTACGCTCTCTTGCTTTTCTGATTGATCTAATGCACTCTCTTGGTCCTTTGCGACAAATTGACGCTCCAACTTCTTGGTATGTCTTCATACAACAGACTCAACACACAAATGTAGACAAGTTAGCAATCTGTTATACAACACATATTCGGCTAGTTCTGTAAATTCCGTTTTTTCTTTCTTTTTTGTGTATCTGTTATGTTATGGTGACATTTTGTCTGCTAATATACAGGCCACTGTGAGTGAAACCTATTCATAGGTGTGCATACATATGTATGTACATACATACATGAAAAGGAAATAAATTATTAATATAAATCGCTGCGTACTTACATTTACATAAAGATTATTTGCGATCGCTTTAATTAAAAATTTTTTTCAAATTGAACATCTTTACTTATTTCAATCACATTTATAAACACTTAAAAAAATAAAAACAAAAAAAAGGCACACACATATATGTGTGAACATAAATACATATGTACAAATGTACGCAGCACATTAATCGCGCGGTATTTTCGCTTCAATAAACACATATTAAGAACACTTCACACACAACTTAATATGTACATATGCTTTTGCATAATATTTATAATATTTAAACTATTAACTAAACCTTTTCTCAGAGTTTTCGGCAACTCCAAGCAAAAGGCGCGACGCGTTCAACAGGCCGAGAAAAACTAAGCCTTGCATTGCAGCTGCAAGAAGAATGCTCTCTTAAAGAACGTAAAAGTGAAGGCAAGGAATCAAAAATCATAACTGTAAATGGCGCAGCTAACTTGGATAGTATTCATAGAAAATGGCAAAAAATGACTGCCGATATGAGGCGCTTAAGTGCAAAAGGCTATTAAATAGGATGCCCCAAACGTAATTATTTTCATATGAAAGCACCTTTTAATGCTGCCAAAAGCAAATTTCATGCAGATAAGCAAATTATACTGTATATTCAAATATAACATAACATTTTATTAAAACTACAAGAATGAATAATCTAAAAGTATAACTCTCTCACTCTCTCTGCTAAGACTTTAAAAACTAATAGCTGATATATCTTCAAAGCTAAGACAGACATGTCAAAGTTCAGGAGGTTCCAGAAGGAACCTAAACGAGTTTGTGTGTACTTTCTTAGATGGTTCAGATATATAATTTATTTAACTTCTCTTCTCCCATTTAAATGCTGAACCGCAATTTTCAAAATTATTTCTGTACCCAGCTATACTTACAGCTAATTTGAATTTATATTCTATAGTCATCCAAAAAATTAATTATTATAAATCGAACAATCATATTTTTTTATATACATTTTTATGTTTTGTTTGTGAATAATCAGTTCATACCTTCAGATATGTAAGCAGAGTTAAAGGGTTTATAAATATGTCAGAGAACTGCTAAGCGAGAAGCGAACTCATCTATTTTCCATTAAATTATTACAAGCATAACTTCTTGGACAAGTGCTCATTCAACACTTAATATTTCATGGTCGAATAATGTAAACAAACGTAAATCTCAAATGAACAACAAATAATAGCACTCAAAATTTAATAATGAGCATCAATCTTCAGCCCTAGACGCTTAATCTCAAACGGCGAGCTACAAGAATTTTCTGGCAATGCCTTCTATTTATGAGCAATTCATCAAATATTTCCTTTCCTTCTTATACCCTGTAGCATATTAGTACTTACGAAATATAAATATGAATCACAATTTAAGAGATTTAAATTAGTACTTTATTATTTAAATCCTAATTCGTACTATAAAAGAATAATATAAAAAAAAACATTTTTATCATCAGTTCGTATTCAAACCTTATTTCTTAAAACAATATTTTATTTAAGAGTTTGAAATAGTTTCCAACAAAGTCCTAGAGGTTTATTTGTAGCCATCAACCTTTAAGTCATACATATATAAGAGATATCAACCATAACCATAGAACTTTCTATAATTTGTTCAAATTGGTAAAGCTAACGATAAAGCTATCCCTATACTCCCTATATAACGTTCTAACATACTCTTCTAAACAATATCCAACAACATTATAAAGATTTAATAGAAGCCATAAGCTTTTGAGACATTTAATTTAAGAATTTGTATACTATTGCTATGAAAATATTGAATTTAAAAATTACTAAGTATAAGTAGCTAAGGGGTTGCTTATTTATTTGCAGATCAACTTGATAATGATAAAAATTTAATTTGTTTAATATTATAAATCACTATTCATTGCAAAAAAACATTTAAATAAAAAAGATGTTCAATAACATTCTAAGGATCTTCTTAAAGATCTTCTTAAAGATTTACAAATTTAAAACAAAAACACTGTAATTTATTACCAATTATATTTTGAAGCTTTGGTTTGTATTCTCGACATTAAAAATATATTCAATTATATCGCATAAAACATTCAAATTTTGTTTTTGAAAATAATAAAAGATATTCAACATTCAGGGATCTTCTAATTAATCTTTTCAAAAACCCTTTATGTTGCTTTAAAGATCAACAATTTAAAACAAGAGCACTGCAATTTATTAACAATTCTATTATGAAGATTTGGTTGGTTATCTCGATATTCAACATTCTAGGGATCTTCTAATTCATCTTTTCAAAAACCCTTTATGTTTAAACAATTTAAAATAAGAGCACTACAATTAATTAACAATTCTATTATGAAGATTTGGTTGGTTATCTCGAACATTCATATATTAGTGTAATAAAAACTAAAAATTTAAAAAAAAAAAATAGTCACAAAATCGATATTTAATACGTTGCTAAAAGAAAACCTCCTCCTTTTATTGATGAACTCTGTTTATAAATAAAAATCTTCATTTCTCATTTAGCCAACTTTTCCTCCCCAATAGCCAAAGTAGGTGCAATCGGCCTCTCATCTAGTACTATGTAGGCCAAACGAATCTATTTTAATGTTTTCGATAGGTCTTTCCTTCTTCATGTACGAGGTTGTAAGTGAATGCTAAAATGTGCAGAAAGAAATGACAAAACAAGTAGAAAACATTTGCTATTTTTAATCGGATTATAAGGAATAGTGTTTAGAATAATATTTTCTCTCGCGTGTACACAAAACATTATAACTGAAGAAAAAATTTCATTGTAAAAGGTTGCAACTTGGGTGACCAACTAAATCAAATAAATAGTTGGGCAATATAAACTACCAAACAGTAATTAAAAACCTCAAAGGCAGACAGCGAGATATTTTCATAATTTTCCCAAACAATGCTTTGAAAATTCAATAACTCTTTAATTTATGGCCCATACACATTAGTGTTGAAACCGAATGGAAAAATGAAAAAAAGAAGAGTGTCTGCTTGGGTTTTGCAATCAATTTCAGCTACTTTGTTTACATTATTGTCGAAATACTCGTGATTTTGTTTTTTAATCAGTTCGATTTCGGCACAGCTGGTTACCCTGCCATAGTGTCTAGCAGCAAGAAAATTTTCAATAATTTTCCACTTGCACAGAAAGCTCAGCAGTTTAGTTTGAAAATCGTTTTCGCAAACATTCGAGCGCGCAAAGCGGCAAGTCGTGCGAGACACTCTTAAAGGAAATCAATAACGAGAACACCAACAAAAAAGAAAAGAAAAAATAGTGCAGAATTCAATTTTGAAAATAATTAGAATTACTGATCAAAACCAGTGTGTGTGAAATGAAAACGCTGTGAAATGCATGTTAGTGATAAGTTCTCAAGAGTACATCTGCCTCGGTTCTGTTCGGTTCGGTTCGGTTCTGACCAATTCACATTTTTACATAAGTTGGAATTTATGAATGCAAAGGCCACGCAACGGCCACGGCGACAAAAGCGTTAAAAATAAACATGAATTGCAATGAAAATTACAAGTGTTGTGCTGAGGAGGCGCGCGGCAAAGGCACCAACTTGTAATTATATTATGCCGAACAGGCCCGAATAAATATCAAATTGAAACAAAAATTAAAAAAACCAAAACAAAAAAAAAAAGGCAAAAGAAAAAATGTATACTGAGAAGAATTGCCAACAAGATGCGACATAGAAAATTGGCCAACAGCCGTAGGCATGTCAAAGGCCGGAATACGGATTTATGCGACTGACAACGACAGTGCGTGCCCAGAACAGTAGCCAACAAAAGTATACGTCTCGTTCAGTCGAACTAATCGCTTGCCAAGTGCCCATCGCGTCCAATTGCTTCATGTTCACCCCCAGTCACATGCACCAGGATGAGTATATACGCGAATATGCCTTCGAGCCGGAGTTGTTAATCAATCGCGAGGAGTATCTGCGGGAGGAGGAGCGCGCCCATAAGCTGCCATCGACGCCTGTTCGCTGGGATGAGACGATTGCCAAACAGCGGAAGGCCAGCGTTGATAGTTGTAATGAGAATAAAAATCAGATTGAAATCGAAATTGAGGCTTTCTACTATGTAAGTGCATTCAGGGGCAAGGGTTTGGTCTACAAGGGCAAGCGAATATCGCTAATTGGGCACAACTGTCAACGTCATACAGAGAGCGACCTTCGCCCAGAACTCAACTAAATTAGCGGACAAATGTCGCTTATATATTTATTTTGCTGTTGTTGCTCTTCTCTGCACTTTCTTTCCTGTCACTTTGTCTATCATAGCCAGAAAAAATCACCAGACATGACGACTAAATTACACTCTTCAACATGCATCTTGTTTTCAAAGTTTTGTTTACTTTGTTGCCAATTCAATTAACTGCCAACACTCTTTATTTTAAACTCTATGTTGCTTAAAGTTTTGATAAATACGATTGTAAACAAGAGAGAGATAGGTTTGTTTTAGACAAGAAAGAATACACCTAATTCTGTTATTACACGTTCTTTTCTTATACGATATTGCTTTAAGATATATTGCTTTAAGATAATCACTGTCTTTATTTACACGGTTATTTCTGGAATCAATTTACCGTGTAAAAACAGAATTAGGTGTATCGTCTTTGGTTAAATTGAGATTTAAAGAAGAAGAAGCTGCCTTAGAAACCAAAAGCGTTATCTCTTCATATAAGTGATTCGACAAAAATCTGTAAATAATCAAAGAAATTTAATTAAAAATAGATCTTTTATTTTCGTATCGAACCTTATTCCAGCAGATCTATTTTAGCTTTCGATTTTGTATTAACAATGCACCACTTCAGTTGTGAACTTCAAGAGACTTTTCTCTGCGATAGGGACAATTAGAAGAGAACTTAAGAATTATACCGGATGAACATCTCAAAACTACAGCTTTTGCTTAAAACTTAAGCCAATTATTATCAAAAAGAGTACCAGTTCAATATTTCCACAACGGATCAGTGTAGAACAAAAATATAAATCAGATTTATCCAAGAGTCTTTTAAATTACTAAATAAAATTTTATATAACAACGCAAACAATAATAAAATACATCGACATCAAAATTCCCGTATGTCCGGCCGTCCCATAACTCATACATGTACTTTAAAATATGGAGACTTTCCTTTCTTCAGCTGAAATTAATTAAATTGTTGAATAGCTTATAATTACAGTCCGATTTTCTTCATCTTTGTAGAACAATGTGGTTACAAATGTTAAGTGACTTGACATACAAAATTTAAATACAGTTAGCATTTTAAAAAGTTAATAGAAAAGGAAGACCTAATGCTGAATAATATCAACTTTTTTAAGAAGTAAATAGTTAATTTAATTAAATAGTTATTTAATTTTAAAAAAAAACACACACACACATTTGAAAAAAGTTTACAAATATAATATGAGATAAATTTTTGTTTGTATTAGGAGAGTGTTTTATTTAAAACTGTCCATCGTGAACAATCATTATATTTGTTAAATGAGATAAATGACATCCCTTTGTTTTTTAAAAGTAGTTGAGATATTTTCATTTATAAGCAATTCTAAATTTTATTTCAAAATGTTGTTCGACATTTGTAGAGGGTAGTGTTATTTTTATGTCTTCTTGTTTCTGCTTTGGACATGGCTAACAAAAATACGTCTAGAAGCACCAACGCATGTGCATTTAGAATTTTTCTTTTCTTCATTCTGTCTTCGGCATTCCTCTAGCCATATGATAAGTATATGTATGTACCAGTATATCTTATTTTATTGTCCATTTATTTTGAGTATTTTGTTTAGTGTAAATAAAGCATTTTTTGCTCAGCAGGCTTCAAATTGTTGCTATGCTGTGCTAAACAAAAAACATATAAACATATTTGCTTTTTACGCTTTTTGTTATTAATGCTTAAAATTTTGCCTTTGAACGAGTTTTCTTTGGGAATTTCCACACGCAGGAATGTTGAGGCGCACAAAGTTTTTCATGACAGAATTTTCTGTTTGATCGCAAACATCAAAATAAATTGGCGCATGGAAATTGTTTTTCGATTTGTCATCAATTTTAAATGCTAAGTAAAATTCAAATTAATGAGATAAATTCCTAGCATTAATTGCAGAAAAATATATTGATTTTTAGAAGTGAGATTAAGACTAATTAATAAATATATATTTTTTAGATAATTTCAAAGATAGTTTTTATCGTTTTCTCACTCATAAAATTAATGAATTCTTTGCCTTAATTAAAGAAAGGAATATGAAGTCCGATGTCTGAGTTTCTACTCTAATAATTCACATAAAAATATTAATTATGTCATTGTATATAGTTTTTATTCATATATGCAAAAACAAGAATTAATCAAACTTTTTGCATTAATCGGAAAAATATATAAACTATTTCATTTATTAAAGTATAAAGTATGAGGAAGAACATTTTCAATACAATAAAAATAATTTCTTGAATTTCCAAATCTAATAATTAAAATACAAATATTTATATAATTTAAGTAATTACATATATTAATAGAGATTGCCAGGAAGCAATCGAAATTGCACAATAAAATAGGAGTTGCTCTTTACTAGGACAATAGCAGACCATAATAACTCCCCGGAAACAGGGAGGATTTGATGCATCTACCGAATAGTCCAGATCTCATGCCAAGGGATTATTACTTTTTTATGGTTAAAAAAAAATGTTCTGCTTGACCCAAAAAATTAGAGGACTATGAAAAAATGGATCGGTAGCAAAAACTAGAGCTTTAATGAGACAGAAAATTCTGGTTCTCCAACTTTCATTATTCGAATGGTATTATTTAAGTGACAAGTATCAGACGTCTTTGATAAAAGCCTGAGTTCGAAGAACAATTTTAATTCAATATTAATATAGTTTTAAAATGTTTATTCCAATATAAATAATAATGTTATTAATTTCCATTTACAGATGTATGGTCGTTATACCAAAGATTTAGGAGAATTTGCAAAAGATGAAGCCCGAAAACTCAAACTACTCGAAAAGCGACGAAAGCAAGAAGACAAACAAAGGAATAAGGTAAAACAAAATAAAACATAGAGAGTTCAAATTCATTTCTTTATAAACCCACACACATTGTCTCTTTGAAATGCAAACGCAATGAGCAAAATATAAATATTTAAGGTAAATCGACAAATGTTCAAAAGGAATTAAGTTAAAATCCGCTAGACACACATTATTTTCGCCCAGCACTTGACATCGGAATCATATAGAATGCATTTGCCGCCATTTGTATTTTATTTTTGGCAATAATCCCATTGTCAGCATTTTACTTATGCACTTGTATATACTTGTACCTGTTATATTTATTTGTCGCATAGAATAAGATAATTTTGGATGTATCGGTTTATAAAGCAGCAGTGCGGGGAATTATTTGCAGGAACTGCTGGGAAAACGAGCGACACGTGTGAAGCGTATCTCATCATGGGTGTGGAAGCATACGTTGGCCCGCCTAGGCGAGGATTGGGTATTTCTAGCGTTATTAGGCATAATTATGGCATTACTCTCATTCATCATGGACAAAGGCATTTCAATATGTACAAACGGTAAACCCATCTACTGTTCGATTGATAATTTATTTAACTTTCGATATACTTGTATAAAAATTTAGCACGCATCTGGCTCTATCGCGACCTTACCTCACAGCCCTTCATACAGTATATTGCTTGGGTCTCATTACCGGTCTGCTTAATATTATTCTCAGCCGGCTTTGTGCATCTCATCGCACCTCAAAGTATAGGTAAGTACATATCCAATATATTCTCTCTGTAGAAAAATGTGTACTTGGTATTAAGTATTAGTATGTAGAAACCATCAGCACATTGCTTACTTAGGTTTGATTGTAGCTTTACTTGTACTTATCTTCTTAGATCTTTCGATTTTCCGCAAAAGAAAAATATACAATTAATTTTTTTACTTACTTACTTTACTTCGATGGTTGTTAGGCACCAAAACAGCCTATCCAAACATTAGCTTTGAAAAGTGATTTGAATTTGGAAAACAATATTTTCTGAACATATTTGCAATACTATATAAAATAGTTTTTAAGATATCCTTGGGAATAAACTGCTTCAACTGAAAACCCTATTTATTTCTATATTTTCTGAACATATTTCCAATACCATATAACAGAGTTTTAAAGATATCTTAGGGAATAAACTTGTTCAACTGAAAACCCTATTTATTTCCATATTTTCTGAACATGTTTCCAATACCATATAAAAGAGTTTTTAAAGTATTGTTGGGAATAAACTGCTTCAACTGAAAACCCTTTTCATTTCTACATTTTTTTAACATATTTCCAATACCATATAACAGAGTTTAATAGATATCCTAGGGAATAAACTGCTTCAACTGAAAACCCTATTTATTTCTATAATATCTCTCTATAGCCGAAAAATATATATGTCTAAAATTAGGGAATCTTCATATTTATTCTTCTTTTTGATAACTTACTTTTCTTTACGTCATTCAAAGTTCCTTAAGTGTAAGCCTTTTACTTTGTATCTTTTTTTTTTATTGAAATCTTTAATATCATATTAAAAGTGTTTCTGCTCCTTCAAGAATAATATGGAATTACATCATTTTGTTAAATTCCCCCATGAACCTTTTCCGTTGCTGGAAACCCAGTACTTATAGACTATACTACGATATCTCTGCAAATAATCCAATTTAGCTCGTAGTTCAGGGTTTCATGAATCTAATGAGCCTTATTTCTTCTATTAAGTACTATAATATCTCTATGGAACCTTTTCCAAAACCATTACAAGTGAGATATATACAAGTAGATAGCTTTAATTTCTTCCATTAAAAGTTATCTTAAATTAGATTCTGTGCCAAATTTGTTTAGTCAGCTGTCTTTATTTGTGGAATGATGAATTTGAGCTTGAGACCCAGTATTTTGAACCAACCTATGTAAACAGGTCCCACTTGTACCTCTGCACTTAGGAAGCTGCCGGCACCAAGCACGTTTGGCACTTAAATTGCACATTGTGTCTATATGTTAAATACTCACAATGATCTATTGTGAACTTAATATAATGATAATTATAACAACAACAACAACAAAAACTACGTGTATGTTCAATGCAAATCTCGATATTTAGGATCCGGTATACCTGAAATGAAGACCATACTGCGTGGCGTTGCACTGAAAGAGTATCTCACATTTAAGACATTAGTGGCCAAGGTTATTGGTTTAACGGCAACTTTGGGCAGCGGTATGCCATTAGGAAAGGAAGTAAGTATCAAAATTGATGCAGCTAAAGCAGAAGCAAACAGCTGGAGAATCTGTAAAGAGTTGCTACATACATATATATATATATTTGTATTTTACCCAACTAGGGTCCTTTCGTACATATAGCAAGTATTGTAGCACAATTATTAAGTAAACTTGTCACATCATTCCAAGGCATCTATGAGAATGAATCGCGTAACTCTGAAATGTTGGCGGCTGCCTGTGCCGTTGGTGTGGGCTCCTGCTTTGCAGCGCCCGTTGGCGGTAAGTATTTATAATTGATAACCCACTGATCCCAAAATTCCCACTGAGTCCAGCACATCACTACCACTGCAGGTGTACTCTTTAGCATTGAGGTAACGACCACATACTTCGCGGTCCGGAACTATTGGCGTGGTTTCTTTGCGGCCGTTTGTGGGGCAACGGTATTTCGACTGCTGGCCGTCTGGTTCCAAAACGCCGATACAGTTCGTGCTCTCTTTCTTACGAATTTCACCACAGAATTTCCATTCGATCCCCAGGAGCTGTTTGTGTTTGCTCTGATTGGGTAAATAACTCGAAAGTACAAATAATACCCTCTTATACTACTTATATATATCTAATCTCTAGCTTCATCTGTGGCTTGGGTGGTGCCTCCTATGTCTGGGTGCATCGGCGTTATGTGCTTTTTATGCGCTCCAACAAACGCATGAATAAGTTCCTTCAAAAGAAGTCAGTTTCAACGAATCATCTTAATATCATACTCGTATTTATGATATTTCCATGTTTTGTTCGCAGTCGCTTTTTATATCCCGGCTTTCTGGCGCTGCTAGTCTCTAGCATTTCATTCCCACTGGGCACGGGACAGTTTTTGGCCGGCGAGCTGAGCAATCACGAGCAGGTTACCCAACTCTTTAGCAACTTCACTTGGTCCCGCGACGATCTGACTGTGGAACAGGCGGCTATAGTTACAAACTGGATGACTAGTTATACCAGCGTGTTTGGTAATCTCATTTGTTATACGCTCTTTACGGTAAGTGGCCTGCAAGATACGTACACAATCGAAACACCTCTATAAAAAAGTAGCCAGTAAACCAAAACAGAAGCAAAAAGAAGAAGAAGAGCGAACTTGGTGCTGCAGCTTGTGGGCGTAGTACTGGAGTGAAATTGTTTCGCTAATAATTGACCGATTCGTATGAAATTTAAAACAAAACTATAGCATTGTTTATAGATTATGTGTGCAAGGTTTGGTTAATGTAGCTTTCGAAATGTGGACAGATTTGATGGAGAGGAAATGGGGGGAAAATTCCAAAAAATTAAATAAACTCGTCCTTTTTCGAACCTAGAAGAATCTGGATAGCAACTTTGGTTATTCCAGCTTTTATAGTTTCTGAGATTCTTGCGTTCATCCAGACAGACGGATAGACGGACGGACAGACGGTCGGACGGACATGTCTAGATCGATTTCTCTCCTCATGCTGATTCAGAATATATATACCTTATTGGGTCGGAGATGCTACCTTCTGCCTGTTACACACTTTGCACTAACCTAATATACCCTTTTACCCGTAGGGTATAAAAACTAATTTCTTAACAAAATATTCCTTAGAATCAGACCTAAAATTCTAAAAATAGATTTTTATAAAATGTTTATTACCGTTGTCCCTTATATTACTATCGATATTGAGGAAGCTATACTTCCAAAAATTGAAATTTGACGGAAATTCTGTTCAACAGAATAAAGAGACATAGAAAGGCTAGACAGACAGAGCTGGCTAAGTCGAATCAGCTCAACTGGCTGATCAAGAATATATTCATGTTGTGGCTTTACTGGTTGTTTAATGGAGCGTTGGATTCGAATTAGAAATGATTTGGGTTGACGGTTCCTTTTATATATAATTAATAGAGAGACTCGATTGCTTACCTCCTAAATTAATGCTAATTTTCCCCACAGTTCTTTGTGTCCATCATTGCCTCGACTATACCAGTGCCATCGGGCATGTTCATACCTGTCTTCAAGATAGGTGCGGGCTTTGGTCGCTTGGTCGGTGAATTTATGGCCTGGTGGTTTCCCCATGGCGTTCGCTATGGCGGCCGCCTCTCACCAATTATGCCTGGCGGCTATGCCGTGGTTGGTGCCGCAGCCTTCTCTGGCTCCGTGACACACACCGTATCCGTAGCCGTGATTGTCTTCGAGATGACCGGACAGATCACACACGTGGTGCCCGTCATGATTGCCGTACTGGTGGCCAATGCGGTAGCTGCTTTGCTGCAGCCCTCAATCTACGACAGTATTATATTGATTAAGAAGCTGCCGTACCTGCCCGATCTTTTGCCATCGAGTTCCGGCATGTACAGCATATTTGTCGAGGACTTTATGGTGCGGGATGTCAAATACATTTGGTATGGCATCTCGTACCAGAAACTGAAAGAGGTGTTGAAGGCCAATAAGGCGTTGCGCTCCTTGCCGCTGGTCGACAGTCCGGACAACATGATCCTTTTGGGTTCCGTGCAACGCTACGAGCTCATCAAAATGATTGAGAAGCACATTGGACGCGAAAAGCGCATGGAGGTGGCGCAAAAGTGGCAAAAAGAGGCCGAGGAACGTGCCCGCGAGGAGGAGAAGAAGAAACAAGAAGCCGAGCTGAAAATGCGTCGACCTTCACGCTTCGAAGTGCTCCCGGCCCCAGATATTCTCAGTCTGCGGCAAATAGCCAATGATGAGATGTTGCCACCAAAGAAACGTGTCGAGGCATTGAACAACAACCTGGCGCCGCGCAAGTCCATACTCAAGAAGACCAATTCGTTCAACCTGAAGACCTATGCGCCCACCGTCCAGCACAGTCCGAACATAACGCCCTACACCACCATAACCGGCAACTCCGAGTTCCGCATACGCTCGGCCTTCGAGGCCATTTTCAAAAAGTCCACCACACTGCAGGATGTGCAGCCAGATCCGGAGACAGGATCGATTTCGCCAGCCCCCAGCAACACGGAGGTGCAAGTGCAGAGAGCTCCCAGCACCCCCGGTGTTTCGAAGAAAGTACAGCTGGTAAGTGTTCCTCAGGGGCTTCGGGGGCTACTAATGCGCTTTTAATATCACTTTCACGCTTATTGTGAACTCAAAAAGTAATGTTAATAGCCTTTAACCTATGTGTGTTATTATCTCAAAGCAAGCACAACATAAGTGGGATTTTGTAACCGATCAGATCATGTTGGTAAGTCAAGTAAGTTGCATGTTTCATGGCCATAACAACATTAGACATCATCTGAAAATAAATTCATCATGGTTCTTGAATATACTAACTCCTGTTCATATCTGCAAGCAAGCAAACTCTAAGTCCACGGATGCCGCAAACATAAACCAAGTGGTAACATTAATTTTTATATGCATTTTAAGATATCTAAAGCATCCTACCTTATTATACAAATAGTTACGCATTCCCACCCCCTTGACAATTATAGTGTCATTGCCAATTATTTTTGTAATCTCTTTAAACATCACACGATCCCATAAAAGCAATTCTATTTGCACGCTCATAAACGAGATCTTTAAACATTTTTGTTCCGACAAGCCGCCTGATAAGGACGACAAAGATGAAAGGTGCGTCGTAGCAGAAGATAAAAAAGACACTTTAAAGTCAAACCACGTGCCGTTTAGTGATGTCAATATAGATAAGCCCAGCATTAGATACAAAACAAATAAGGTTTCAGATATAAGTAGAACCGCGAGCAAAATTAATTTAAGCGAGCTCAACAATCAAGATCTTAAGCCAGCCATAAATGATAACCATATAGAACCCACGAAGAAAAAGGTTAGAAAAATCAAGTTTAGTAACGAGGTGAAGGTCAAAGATTCTCCAAATCATGGCTATACTACCGATAAGATAAGCGATAGCGAGCTCGAGACAAATGATTGTGGTTACACGATAGAAGATGTCGATGAGAAATCTAGCATTGACGGGAACTATGGAAGTGGAACAAGTGAGAATGAAGAACTGGCCCGTGTGGTAAGTAAAATGTGGGTCAAGACAGGCAAATAAATTGCACACAAATGTCTGGCCATATTCATAGCTCCAATTTTGTTTTTGTCTATATGTGCCACACATTAACACTAATGGGTCCTGGAGTTGGTTTACAAATAAGTCTAACATTTCCTATTTTCTTTTCTATCTACATCTCTACCTTCTGTCCCTATATTATCATGCATACGAATCCATTAAACAGACAACGGGTCCTAAAAAAATGAAATCGGTGCAGTTGGTATGTAAAAATTACCATTTAGCTCTACAAAGCGACAACTTCTATATAAAAGCCCTCATGGATTGAAAATGTTCACTCGATAATTTTGCTGTTCGTCCTTCTAGCCCCGCGAACGTGTCATAGATATGTCGCCAGAGGATCAAAAGCAATGGGAACTCGAGGAAATGCTTAAGCCTATTGATTTGGAAAGGGCTCAAGTACATATCGATCCATCACCTTTCCAGTTAGTGGAACGCACTTCCATACTTAAAGTACACTCACTCTTTTCCATGGTGGGCATCAATCATGCGTATGTGACAAAAATCGGACGTCTGGTTGGAGTTGTGGGTCTTAAAGAGGTACCAACCAACACTTCAATGCCCAAGCAATCGCTTTTTAAACAATATTTTCAAAAAAAAAAATACCTTTTCAGCTTCGCAAGGCCATTGAGGATATAAACAGCAATAGCTTTGTGGTGCCACCACGCGATGAGGAGATTCACAACAAGCCGTCGGTAGAAAAGCCTCTGCTAATGCCCAATGCCAGCGATAAAGCCGTTGATATGACAGTCACTTCAATGGACTCGGCTCTCTCGAATTCAGACAACTGCTCCGATATCGAACTGGAGCATATGAAGACAGAGAAGACGGCGATAGTAACGCTGCCGCCTCAAGAACCCTGTGGTAATACAAATTCAGCGACAGACACAAGCTCAGATATGGGAAAACATGTTTAAGCCTCTCCAATAACACGCTGCGTTGAGTCAACCAGAGACAAGAACAATAAATATTATGCATACGCAGCTTTAGGTTTGTTAAGTACTATACACCTAAATAAAATACATTTTACTTTATGTCATAATTTTAATTAATTTAGACACAGCAATTTGTTATGTATTTATATCTCGTTAGTGTATAAAGTCAAAAATATCGTGATGTACATTTAAGTTCAAATTGTAAACGAAATAAATTCGCAACTACAAATGAGTTGAGAGTATAAGTAGAGATTATAGTTGTATTCTGATTAGTGAACAGCTCTTATCTGCTGATTCAATCATCTCTACTCTTTCAAATTAGGGGCATAAATGGGTGATTATATCGCGTCTGTTGCCTGAAATAAAATGTCTGGAGCTACTCATTACTCATCATCTGGCACAGTAACTGATCATCTCTATCTATTTAAGAACATACCTGCATAAATAGAAACCTATCTGAATTAATGAAGAGCTTTTCAAATAAATTATCAACCAGCAGTTGATAACTTTAATAATAGACTTTAATTACCGAAGGTGGGGAACTATAGTAATATGAAGATATTAATTATTGTACACCCTGCTTCTGCAAATTATAATGAGAGTAAACATAGTAGTTTAAGAGTTCCGGGTATTTTCTGTCAAATATTAATTCCAAATTTGAATTTCCAAATTTTGTTACAGTCTCATGAAAGAAAACAGAAACTCCAGTTATGAATGAATATGGTAAGCCTTTAAGTAAGCGTTGTCTTCCCATTATCGGCAAAGTTTGGACGAAAATATGCGTAGGAAAATATTCCCTAGACATGAAATACAAATACGGTAACGTATTGGTTGAGCAAGGAGTCTCATATGTCGTATTTAAAGCGGATGCCAGTGAATATCTTGTATCGATGGGTGAAAGCGCTTTAAATAAAAAAGATAAAGTCATTCTCAGCTCCAGCGGAACATTTCTCGGTGTGGATAAATCGCCAATTGAGAGGGGACAAGGCATAGGTTGTATCAACTTTTTATTGCGCTTTACGGATGATTTAATTAAGGAGTGCATGAAAAAAACGTTGCCCAAAGCCAAATTAACAGTGTTAAACTATCCCCAATATTCTGTGTCACGCACCTTGCTTCTAAAAGATTCCGATTCCGATGATGCTGATGGTTCCGATAATGCAATAACAATACGCTATAGCTATTGGCCTTTAATAGTCGTTGGCATGTTTTTGATAATCCTGGTGTGCCGTTGGAGAAGATGAATTTAATAAACAATACACGACTAAAATTAAATTAATCAGAATGTTTTATTTATAATCATGGTAATGTATTGGAAAAAATTATGTAAGCCCGCTGTAATTTCAGAATCAGAACTTGAATTTATTCTTTTACGTTAATCTATTTAAATGTAATATTTTGAAAGCTAGATTAGCTAGCTAAATTATAAGTAAGTATAATATACATATATGGAATATATAATTTATCACAGCTCTCAATAACAGAACGATTTTATAAAACAATTTAATTCATATTAATAATCAAAGTGTATTATTAAAAACGGATTCCGATAATTCATTATCATTTTAAGACCCGAAACTGTTAAGGAATGCTGATCAAGATATATTTATATCGGGTCTATTAGAGGTAAAAACAAAATAAGGATGAGTATATTTATACCCTAAAACCTAAGGGTATACTAGTTTCGTGCAAATGTATGTAACACACAAAAGGAGGCTTGGAAAATCCCCCAAAGTATACTCGTATATATTATTGATTAGTAAGACAAGACGAATCGATTTAGAACAAGTTTTTTTTTCTAATGAAACCTCCTTCCGTAATTCAGGGAATTTTCAAATTTGGCAAGTACATCCCATTAGTGCTTATGTGTACTCGTGTAAAGTTTTTATAAAGTTATAGCCATAACTGTGATCTCTTCCCAAACTCTGCCTGTTGTTGTTCTTTTGCTATTAATTTTATTTAAATAGTTTAATTTTTAATGAAATTAACAGCCACAATTTTTTAAAATTTTTAGTGGCAGTACAGGAGTACAGGGTATTTAAAAGTTGATTCTACTCGACTCTAGCACTCCTTTCTTGTTTAAAGATGGAATTAGCGCCCAAAGCTTACTCGCGCTACAAAGCTCAAAAAGAAAAACGTTTAATTCAACAAAGTCTGGATGATATCATTAATGGGCTAATGCACATACAAGTACGAGTATATTCGGAGCAAATAGCTATTAATTACAAAGACAAAAGAGAGTAAACTTCTAGTACCCACTCTGTCGCTTCAAAAGAAAAGCTACTGGAAGTTATCACATACGTTCAAATTGATGGTTGACAGAAGCAGCAGGCGCAGCGACGGCGACGGCGGCAGCGGCAGCGAAAATGCTTTTATGGACGAATTCAGTCGCGACGACTTGAAATTTTTGGGTCATACTTACTTCGATACTTCCACCGAGAAGCACGGAATCGGTGTACGCTGTTGCTGAACATAATCTTAAGTACTATCTTTAGAATGTACGATAAGAGAGGACACTCCTCATCGGGCTCCTTGCAATAAAGTGCCAAAGTACTCGTCTAGTATTATAATATAATTTGATTTGATATCAAATAAGTGTCCTTGTGTTATTGACTGCCGGTCCGTCAATAGCAACATTGTGATATTAATTAATTAAATAACCCTCAAAATGAAGTTCGACGAGAACGATCGTAAATCTCTCATCGAGTCCTTGCCAAACTCACAGCCACAAATCCAATCAACACCCCAAAGGCAATCCGACGACGATCCACACTATCAACAGACGGAATCCTTCGTAGCCGCGGCCAATATAGAGAATGGCTTAAGGCAAAATCCAGCGCTGGTAAGTAAAGAGCGACCTTGAAAGGATACTGAAATCTTCAACAAAGCAGCTATTAAAATATTTTTTAAGATGATGATCTTTGGTTTAAAGAGACTATCTACAGAATAAATGAAGAAATTTTGTACTTTTTTAAATAATTTTTTTTAATTATACGAAATAGCATAAATCAAAGAAAAGATAAGGAGTTATAAGAAGTTATGAGATTTTCTTTGATATAGATTTTTCTCACATACATTTTATTAAACTTTTCCAACGAATTCGTAATACATAAAAATATAAAACCGAGTCTTAACGATACAAGTTTAAAATCTGACCCGAACTTTGCAGTACCTGCAAGTGTGTTTGATTATTATATAATAATTTGCTAGATCCTTGCTTGGATACAGGCTGATATGCCTCCATCGATTTGTCTACACATGCTGATAATGCTGATAAAGAGAATTTATACATTATTAGGAAGCAGCTTTAAAACAATTAACAGTATGCTAATTAAATCAGTACTCTTGATGTGCAAATGTGCAACCCTTATAAGTTGTGAAATGACAATTACATATTTATTTAGAATATGGAAACTAAGTGCATCGAATGCAAATCAACAATTTTTCCAAACCAACTCGAACGCATTTTCCCCTTTATTGAGCCAAAATTTCCTAATTTGTGCACAACCCAATTCATAGCTTTAATATTTTGCACTGAGCTTTAATGGGAAGAAAGGAGTAATTAGTATATGTTTATAAATAAAATATTAAATTCTGAAAATGTTCTGTTTTTAGACCAGAAGTCGATTTTCGCAAAAAATTTAGAACAGTTCTTAAAATGCTCTCTGTAAGTTCTAGACTAAAAACGTTTTCTTTTTATTTCTGGATACACCACGATTTTATCCCACTTCTATGCCAAATTCGACCCAATTTGCTTGAATTGAAAGCAATTGAATAGAATTACCAAGGAGTTAAAAAACCTGTACATATTTAAATGCCACTCGAAACTAATTATCCGTCAACTCAATCAATGATTTTGTAGAACTGAGCGGTATATTTGGGGTCTTCATTTTTTATATTAAGTATATACTTAGCATACGTCGATTAAATGAAAATGTTGATTAATGAGGACTCATTAACTCATTCCCATTTAAACGAACCAGTCCAGAAACTTTGATGTGTTTTTTAAAAAGTGTTAACGAAGGAAAGGTATTTTTAAATGTAATTTCACATTAGCAATAAACCAAAGATAATCATAAACTAAATTAATGGTAGCATAAGGGATAGCCATCAATTAATTTTAATTGAACCTTTAAACTTCCTCAAGTCTTCATCATTAAAGCAAATTAATTTTAGATGCCTATATTTGACAGAGTTTGAAATCGTTCTTAAGTAACTTTGTAGACTTTTTTTTGTATTTTGAGATAAACATGACTGATGTTGATGAAGGAATTCTCCTACACCTAAGCAAGGTCTTTAAAGATCATTAACTTTAAAGAGTTATATATTCTTATTAACATTAATATTAAGAATTAAACATCCGAAAGTTAATCAGCCATTTCTACGAATTAATAGTATTACTATGAATATTTAGAGATAAACATAATGAAGGAATTCTCCTGCTTATAAACAAGCCTTTTAAAAAACAATAATTTTGTAGAATTACTCGTATACATTTTATTGTTAATAATAGGAGATAAACAACAGAATGTTCATAAAGAAACATCTCTAAACTTTAACAATGCCAAAACAATTAATATTAAAAGGCAAACATCAGTCAGTTGATGAAGAAAGATCACTAAGGCAAGTATCCTTGAAAAGTGTTTGCAATTTAAAAAAAAAAACAAAAAACTGCTACTATGTTTACTTCTTTTGGCAATTTCGCTATTTCGCGACACAAACTCAAATTTAATTAACGCGTAACGCGGCGTACACCTGTTTGGGTTGAAAAATTGTAAATAACATTTGAATGAAGTCATAATAGCATATGCATGCTCGTGCTGTCTGGTTGTCAGCTGCTTTAATTACATATGACACTTTTTTTTATTAGCATAGATTAAATATTTAAATTTGTGATCACGTGAAAATGTGACTCTTACTACTTGTATATATTGAATTTGTGTACTGAGCCGTAGCCGAGTCTTACGGTCTGGTTGTGTGCCACGCATTGTACGCGTAGTTCTAAATATGTTAATTTTACAATAATTGCTAACAACAAACAATTAACGCGATCGCGTTGACATCGGTTTATTTTAGCATAAGGCTGAGAATTGTTTGCGTAAACAAAATTTTGAGGAATCGGTTTTGTCAGGATTGTGCTGGAAAACAGGAAAACATCCGTGAGCGTGCATTCAATTAATTCATTCTAAATATTTACAAAGTTATATTGGAAATACAACGTAAATTGTTATGTAAATTTCATTTATAAAGATTTCATATACTACCCTAATTTCGCAATGATTTCCTGAAATATAACTGAAACTTTTTTGTTTTAGGTTTCTCGTTTTTTCACGATCTTGGTTTAAACTAACTAACTACCTTATTATTAATTTTCAGTTATTTGTTCAAGAAAATATAATTTTCTTTCCCTATTTATTAACAACTTCTTAACACTTTCTTTTATAATCTAACAACATTATTTACAGTCCTATCGTCGCTATACAAAGGAACTAGAAAAATTTGCTAGGGCACAAGCAAAGCAGCTCCAAATACTGGAGAAAATACGCAAACAGGAAGATAAGGAGCGGAATAAGGTAAAGCGTTGAGAGCTTTTTAAAAAAAAATCCGTTTTATAAATTTAAAAAAGTTTTAAATTTCGAAATATATATTATAGGGCTCAACATTTATTTTCCAATACTTCTTATTGTTATTTAAATGCCAATAGCTAATTTATTTTTTCAATCGACCTGCGTTTATTTGTCTTGTAGGGATAGTTTTCTGAAATTTGAAAATTATTTTAAATTTGAAGTAATATTTTGGATATTTTCTGAACAGCCCACAAACGAATCTTCCAACTAAACTTTCTTTATAAAATAACAGAAACTGGAAATGCTAAAATGTTTGTAAGCCTTTCCAAAATTGTTATTTTTTTTATTTTAGTAACTATATTTATTTATTTTTTATTTATATTTTTTTTATTATTATTACCGTTCTATTTCTACTTCACCCTCCTGGCTCTCTCACGAGTTCCTTATTGACAATATAGAGTATCTATCGGATATTTTGTTTGCTCAGGAACTGCTGGGACAGCAACCTTCGCCCAAATATAGTACCTCCTTCTCTCTTTTTCCGCTTTATATATTTTTTTATTATTACTACCGTTCTTGTTATTGTCGTACTATGTACTTGACCCTCCTGGCTCTCTCACGAGTTCCTTATTGACAATATATAGTATTTATCGGATATTTTGTTTGCTCAGGAACTGCTGGGACAGCAACCTTCGCCCAAATATCGCTTTCAAACATGGATCAAGATGTATATATTGACACGTCTACGCGATGATTGGATATTTTTAGCCGTACTGGGCATTACGATGGCTCTCTTCTCATTTATCATGGACGAAGGCATCCAGATGTGCTTGCATGGTAGGTTTTCGAGGGCTAATACGATTATCTAACAAACTTATCAACTCTTTTTGAAATATTTCAGCACAACTCTGGCTCTACCGGGATCTTACATCACATATTGCTTTACAGTACTTAGCCTGGGTGTCGGTTCCAATCTGCTTAATACTATTTGCCATTGGGTTTGTGCATTATGTGGGACCGCAGAGTGCGGGTAAGTTTTGAAACCTCACATTGATGACTTCAAAGAGCTGATCTCAAACTTTATTTAGGATCTGGCATACCTGAGATGAGAACCATACTTCGCGGCGCTACACTCAAAGATTATCTCTCGCTTAATACCTTGATAGCCAAAATGGTGGGCTTGACAGCAGTTTTGGGCAGTGGCATGCCTTTGGGAAAGGAAGTATGTTCAGAATTACTTGTATTAAATGCAAGGACAATCACTAAATCTTTATATCTTAGGGGCCGTTTGTGCATATAGCAAGCATTGTGGCAGAATTGTTGAGTAAACTTGCCACTCCATTCCATGGAATCTATGAGAATAAATCTCGCAATTCGGAAATGTTAGCTGCGGCCTGTGCCGTGGGTCTAGGCGCTTGTTTTTCAGCCCCCATTGGAGGTAAATGTTTTTATAGATTCTTAAGAAAAACTTAGAAAACAACTTTGTCCTTAGGTGTGCTTTTCAGCATTGAAGTAACGACCACATATTTTGCGGTTCGCAATTATTGGCGCGGTTTCTTTGCCTGCGTAGTCGGGGCGACTGTGGTGCGACTTCAGGCCGTGTGGTTCCAAGACGCCGATACTGTGCGTTCCCTTTATCCGACATATATCACCACCGAGTTCCCATATGATCCACAAGAGCTGTTCATCTTCGTCATTGTTGGGTAATAGCTTTACGCATTTTTGAGAAAACCTTTTTTTAAGCTTTAGCTTTTTAGCGTTCTTTGTGGCTTATTGGCCGCCTTCTTTGTTTGGGTTCATCGGCAATATGTACTCTTTATGCGAGCCAACAAGTTGATGGGAAAATTGCTGAGCAAGAAGTAAAATTCATGCTGGATATACAAATAAAGAATATATATTTAAAGTGATTTTTTCCAACAGCCGCTTTATATATCCCGCAATTATAACTTTAATCATCTCCTCAATAACCTTCCCACTGGGCGGCGGCCAATTTATGAGTGGCGAGATCGACTCTCCGCAGCAATTGACGCAACTCTTTAGCAACTTTACCTGGACCAGCAAGGATTTGAATATGGCACAGATGGATATAGTTTCTAACTGGTCGAGCGACTACAGCAGCATTTTCATCAATCTCATCTGCTTTACACTCTTCCATGTAAGTTTATGGTTGGTTTCTGATAAAGAAACTTCCAATAGAGCTATCTCACGATTAAAATATTGATCACAAATGTGTTCGAATGATCCAAACATTATTTATACACTAAGAAAATGGCCCAATAGAACTATTGTTTTTATCTCTCAATTACAATATTGATCACAAATGTGCTCGAATAATCCAAACATTCGGCGCGTTTAGCAGGTCGTAGCGATTGGCGATTTGTGATTGATAATTACTGATTTCACCTGTTGACCGCTGTGATTTATGATACGGATAAGTAAAAATGTCAATCGAAATCACAAAACAAAAATCGGTAAAATATGAGATGCTTCGGCCCAAATCATCAGCTAGCTGTCAAACTAATCCCCATAGAATTATTGAAAGCTGCTCCGCTGTATTTGGATCCTATGTTGATTCTCCATTTGTTTGACTGCACGCGTTGCAAATTAGAAAACATACATTCTAAAGCTTCTTCTTATATCTAATTGCTATCGATAACAGGTAACAATTCATTCATTGATTAATTCAGTATGGAAAATGGATAATTCACAATGGTATTAATACTAGTTACAATAATTGGCAGTTGGTTATTGATTAAATTCAAATTAATTAATTAAATGCGTTTCTTCTTATATCTAATTGCTAATCGATAACAGGTAACAATTCATTCATTGATTAATTCAGTATGGAAAATGGATAATTCACAATGGTATTAATACTAGTTACAATAATTGGCAGTTGGTTGTTGTTTAAATTCAAATTAATTAATTAAATGCGCTTATGGCCGCAACATACTCCCGACCTTGGAAGCTCCTTCCAACACCAGTCTAGCATTCTCCGTCTAGAGGTAAGGGACATATTTTGTACACGTTCCGCTTGCGATAGCCATTCTTGGTTTTAAGAGTCACCACTTTAACCACACCATCGGTTCCTGGTACCCATTGCCCCAGCGGCTAGTTGTCCTCCGCAATCAACGCGAGAGAGCCTAAATTCACATTTTTGGACAGGACATGCCATTTTGTCCGCTCTTGTAGTAAAGTCAGGTATTCTACCGCCCAACGCTTCCAAAATGCGTTCTACACCGGTAGAATTCGCTTCAAATGATAAGTCATGGACATATTACTACGACCTAACCCCATTATTTAAACACTAAGAAAATGAACCCCTTGTGTATCTTTATAGAAGCTTACAAGTTTCCTTCTCGCCCGCTCCTTTCAGTTCTTCTTCTCCATTATCGGTTCCACAATGGCGTTACCTCATGGCATGTTTATACCAGCGCTTAAGATTGGTGGCGGCTTTGGTCGTTTGATTGGCGAAAGCTTGGCATTGTGGCTGCCCCAAGGCTTCAGTTTTCCCACTCTGGCGCCCATCATACCCGGGGGCTATGCTATAGTCGGTGCCGCCGCTTTTTCCGGCGCCGTCACCCGCTCCATTTGTGTGGCGGTCGTCGTATTCGAGATAACGGGCCAGATCGCATATCTCGTGCCGGTCATGATTGCCGTACTTGTGTCGAATGCCGTCGCCTCTCTGCTGCAGCCCTCCATGTATGATAGTGTGACGAAACTGAAGAATCTGCCGTACCTGCCGGATCTGCTGCCGTCTAACTCCTGCATATATAACATATTTGTGGAGGACTTTATGGTTCGAGATGTTAAGTACATTTGGCAGGGCATTACGTACCAGAAGCTCAAGGAGGTGCTGAAAGCGAATAAGACTCTGCGCTGCTTGCCGTTGGTCGACAATCCACACGATATGATCCTGTTGGGTTCCGTGCACCGTCACGATCTCATCAACCTAATTCAGGAGCACATCGGACGCGACAGACGTCTTCAGGTGGCCCAGCAGTGGCAACAGGAGGTCGACGAGCAACGTGCTCGCGAGCAGGCCAAGGACTATCAAGGCTCAGCCAACAACGAACGTCGTCCTTCACGCTTTGAGGTTGTGGCAGCCACCGATCTCCTGCATCTGCGTCAGATCGCTAATGACGAGATGTTGCCCCCGAATAGGCGTGCGGAGGCGCTAATCAATACACTAAGCCCAAGAAAATCTATTTTGCTGAATAGGAATTCAACGGATGAACAAACCGATCCTGAAGGAGGTGATAATGAAGCAGCGAACATTTCCAAGAGGGTACAGCTGGTAAGTTATATATTATAACATTTTGGAGAAATCAATAAATAACATCAATAAATATCATTACATTAGAAAGCGACCAAAAGTCATAAATTGTTGCACAAATTTGGGGCAATTCGTTTTTATATAAGATTGGTATACTGAAATTAACAGGTATAAAAACTAAAACTAAAGGGCTTAAACAATTATTTAAAACACTTCTGGTATAAAATAGTCCCAATAAAAAACTCATCTTCTAAATAAAAGGGACGAATTAACATTACAATTTATAAGCGAATAGTCCGAGTTGAGAAATATTTTTCTAATGTTTATTTAATTTTAATATAAGCAATTATATAATATATTTAATTATATTAGAAAGAAAATTAGGGTTAGTTGCCTTTACTTTTATTTCAAGGGCGATTTTTTATAGTTAATGGCAGTTCAATTTTTTCTAAGAATACTCTTTTAGATAGAATTATTATTTATTACTTGCGTAAAATAGTTTTTAAATTATCTTCAATTTCTAGCCCAACGATTTATATATACAAGTATTTATATGCAGTTCATTTTTTTCTAAGCATACTCTTTCAGATAGAAGTATTATTTATTACTTGCGTAAAATAATTTTTAAATTATCTTCAATTTCTAGCCAGGCGATCGTGTCGTTGATATGTCCGCTGAAATGCAAGAGAAATGGGAACGCGATGAAATGCTGAAAACCGTAAATTTAGACAAGTCACAGATAAATATAGATCCAGCGCCCTTCCAACTGGTTGAACGCACATCCATGCTGAAGGCCCACTCACTCTTCTTCATGATGGGCATTAATCATGCGTATGTAACCAATATCGGACGACTTGTGGGTGTTGTGAGCCTCAAGGAGGTGAGATATTATCAACTATATACATATATATCTTTTAAAAACAATTAATTAATTTTTACAGCTCCGCAATGTTATTGAGAAGGCAAATGTTAATAATGTAGCGGTACAAAACCCGCGGGAGGAGTTACCCGAGGAAAAAGCTTTATTGTCTCCTAGTCATACAGCAGTTGATCTGACGATTACGACAATAGACTCAAGCATCACCCAGATCGATCTAGGTAGTAGCTACGAGTCGGCGAATGTAGGAGCTGGGCTCAACATAGCGTCTCAGAGTTCATATTCTCAAACGAATGCGAATGAAAATAAGAAGAGCTCTGATGTTTAGACTAAGAATCTTGTGTAATTTTTAGTGTGGGGAGTATTCTTAAGGAGACATATTGATATCAATTCAAAGAGATGCATAAATATGTAAAATGGGTATTGCCGATCTTGATTTTTTTTTTATTTTGATCACTAAAAATCCTAAAATAACCAAAAACTTACACTTTATTCCTCTCAAATCTAATCTAATAATATTCGAATCAGATGTATTCAGCTGTTGTCGCCTAACTGCTAACTTTTTATTTCGTATGGAATGATACGATATTTCACTTGAGATGATATACCAAGACGTAGTTGATCAATTAAATTATTTTCATATATCATAGGAAATCAGCTGACTAGCAGCTGATGCTTGATTTTTGTCTATTTAGACATATTAGGAATACCCAAAACAGCTGACGAGCAGCACATACTTAAAACAAAAAATCAGAATAAACTTAACTTAAATCGGAAATACCCGCAATGGATCTATAGATTAGATCAATCCCATCAATCAGTGGTTGTAAGGGTTTAACTTTGAAATAAAATACAACTGGTTAACATTTTTTATATTTTGCATTTTTATTGACTTTTTCTCGATTTTTTTTTTTGTTTTTTTTTATATTTTTTTATGTATAAAACAATATCTCTTCGTTTGTCGCTTCTTTTTATTACAATTCAGTTGTGGTGATAATTTAAAAACAATTTGCTTTCATTCACAATTCATATGATAGTTCTTTCATACAATTACTTTTATTTTACTCATTTGATTCATTTATGAAACTGTTTGCATTTGTAATAATTTTTTTGTTTTTTTTTTTCGTTTTGTTACTCGTTACATTCATTCGCATTCGCGCATTCTCGCTCGTTCTCTCACACTCAAAAAGCAGCGCTTGCCCAATTGTAACGGCAAATATTCAATTTAGCTGACATTCCAAAATTACAGTTGCATTTACTTATACAGCTAGTAGTTGTGTTTTGATGGGCTTGTATGCATGTGTGTATACGAGTCTGTGTGTGTGTGAGTGTGAATGTGTCTGTGTGCCTGTATTTGTGTGTGGAGCGCTGCTTCTTTAACATGTTTTAGTTAAACTTTTTGTTCCGTTGCGAAACGTTTCTCACAGTTTTACAAATTAAAACAAGAGCTTTAATTAGTTTTCATTATAACTGCTTGCAAATAAATTATTGATTTTATTCGTGTAGGAATAGTTCTGCAAATTGCATTTACATATAAAAATTATTGTATGCATTTTATCAAGACGGTTCGACTTAACAACTTAATGTGTCAAAACTTTTTGTTTGTCTTCTTCAAACTACATTTCTTGACATCATTTCTTCGCTAGGTTTTCAAAAATTATAATTAAATGGGAAAATAAGAAAAGATTGGAGTTTTTTTGTATTTTTTGTTTGCTTGTGTTGCGAAATTTTTATGTTTTTTTTTTGTAATTTCATGATTTTGTTTTATTAGTAAAGTTTTCTTGTTTTTTTTTTTTTGTATGTGGTAGAAAAGATTGTTTGTTCTCTCCTCTCTCCCTCTCTTCTTTCTCTCTCCCTCTCTCTGCTTGTGGAAGTAATTCAAGTTTTGTTAGTAACAGTTTTTTTGTTGTTTTTGTTTTATTGAAAGTATGGAGTTAAGGAATACAAAAAATAAGGAGAAGCAAAGTAATTCTGACATTGTTTCATTTGTTTTTTGGGGCGTAAACAAAAAAATAAACAATTTTTTAGTTGTGAAAACTGTTGCTCTCTTCCTACTACGCTTCACTGTACTTATTAGTAGTAGTAGTGTTGTTGTTGTTGTTACATTTTGATGGCACAGCGTCAGTTGATAGTTTTCAGGTGCAATTCATTATACATTTTATATCACAATTCTTTATTATTATTATTTATTTGTAATTAACACATTTGTTTGCTTTTAAATTTACGCCCATCTGATTTGTTGAGCAATGTCGTGTCAGAAATATTCTTTGCTTATATTTTTTTTTAAGACTTATGTATGTGTATTGTTGTTGTGGTTGGTATGTTTGTGTATATAAGTATGTATGTGTGTGTAACTGTGTGTGTGTATTTACTGGACAAGTTCGAAAAGTTTTGGAGCTCACCATTCCAAAAGTTTCCATTTAAATTTTAATGACCATTTAGGCGAGTCTTTCAAGTTTTAAATTATCAAGATCTCTCATACATATTATATAGATAGATATATATTATATATATGCCCGTACTACGTCTAGTGGTCTAGGACAACATCATGCATAATTATATAAGCTATAAAGCCTCGTTGTCAGAAGCAAAACTTTAAGTTCTGCATTCAGATATCGCACTACAAACTAAAAGGAAACTTCTTTTTTGGGGGGTGAGCGCCACAAATTTCCGAGATCGAACACCATACAAAAATTCGCCCAGTATAGCGTATATACTTATACAAAAGTTTTTCTCTTCGTATGGGCACTTAAAATAAGCAGCATTTTACATTTCATCTTGAAGTACAATGCTTGGAAACTTTATAGGATATGGGAAATCGGCATGCACTCTTAAATTGCCAATCGTTTCATTATTGTTTAAGGAATTGATTTTCGGAATTTTGAGAAAATGACTTTGCCTTGGCTAAGAAAATAATAAAATTAAATAATAATAAAAGTAGCCGAAAATTGCATGACGATTTCATCTCAAAAATTGAAAAGCAAAAGGCAAATTATAGAAGTGTTCAGAATTGTGTCTGTGTGTGTCTGTGTTTATATATGTGTGTTGTTGTTTAACCCAAACATCCGGGTCCTTCTACAAATTTTGAAAACATTTAACTTAATTACATTGTTTTAATTTTTTGTTTTAGCAATTGTTTTGCTTTTTTGTAACAAAAGATTTACTATCAAAATTACAACAGCTTTCTTGTACATTTTGGTTAAATTTCTTGTTTCTTCGATATATGCCAAAAATATGTGCAAAACTTTCTCTCGTATGTAACAAAAAAGCACGAATCGCCAAAAACCTTTTAAGGGAACCGAAAAGAAACGTAATTGTTTATGCATTTTCGCTTGAACTCTGTTTTTATTTTCATAATAAAAATTATAGCGCATTTATATTTATAACGTTTTAAATCTTTTTTATAAAAAAAGGTTTTTTGTTGTTTTTTTTTTTTATATATCGAACGACTGTTTGGTTGTTGTTATTTTTGTTGTTGTTCTTAAACAGCATTAAATTTGTTTCGTAACATTTTGTTAGGCTATTGAAAACAAGTTTTTTTCCTCAATATCTCTTTTTGTTTCTTTTACGTTACAAAGACGGAATTAAGTAGTTTTTTTGTGATAACATTCATTGTTATTGTTTTGTTTTTTTTGGAGGGGGGAGTAAAATATATTGGTAAACAAAAAAAAATTTAAATTTGAGTTGGAAGTGGACAAATGTTGGCAGTTGGTTGTGGCGCGCGAAATAGGATCCCTTTGCCTTCTTGTAAAAGAATAATAAAGAAATAGAAATATAAGTGTTTGTTTTACAATTATTTTGCACAATAATTTCAAAGTAAACAATTGTTGCTTGTTTGATATAAAAAATTAGCTTTCGCTTAAAGCTTTTACAGTATTGTTTTCTATAATTCTATATAGTAGATATATTCTCTGTCCATGAGAGAAAAATGTAAATGAAAATATGCAATGCGACGACCATTAACCAAACTGCCTCAACTTAGCCAACAATGAGCTCGGTTTCTCTATTTTTAGCCTTCTATTTTAGCCACTTGCTGTTGCCGGCTCACAATATTCACCCAAATCGCCGGGGCGATGCGATGATGCGGTCGCATTGTGTGACCGCAGGCGTCGCTGCATCAACAAACTCTCACTTGGAGGCGAGAGACCAATGCGCAACGGCGGCTCATCCATTAGCTGAGCGGCCTGTGAGTGCATAAAACGTCCCGAGCCAATACGCTGCTGCTGGTTCTGATATTGTTGTTGCTGCTGCTGTTGTTGTTGCTGCTGTTGCTGATGTCGCTGATGGTATGACTGCGGGCGTTGCTGATTCATGCCACAGCTTCTCATGGGTGCATAAATGCAATCGTTGCGCCAATTGTGCAGCTCATCAGAGGGTGGGGATCCACCGCTGCCACTGCCAGTACTGCCGGCACTATTGTGACGCTGCTGCGGCTGCATTGGCACCGATTGCTCGCGTTCCCGATAGGTTTTTGGCTGCGGCAACTGCTGCTGCTGTTGGCGCCCACCACTGTGGGAGAAGCTGCCCAAATAGTTGCGCTGCTGATTGCCGAAGCCACCGCCACCACCTGTGTTAAATGGTGGTCGGTATTTACGATAGTTGCCAGTCTGCGTTTGCTGCTCCGAATTATGGCTGCGATAGCGCCAATTCTCCTGCATTGGCGTCTTTGTCGGCTGCTGTTGTTGTTGTTGTTGCTGGTCACGAGCCACAATGTATCGTTGTTGCTGCTGTTGTCGCTGCTTGCGCGTGTATGCATTACAAATAGCTGGCAGCGGCTGCTTGAATTGAACCGTTCCTGGCTTTTTGTTGGCATCGACATCGTCCACAATATCATCATCATCTTCATCATCATCATCACCATCGTCGTAATGTTCATCGTAATCATCGTCCTCTTCATCTATGTCCGCATCTTCGTTCTCATCGGCTTCCAGCTCAGAATAGTTTTGATATGCATCAATCGCAAAATAGACGTTGCGTTGTTGTTTGCCTGTCTGCTGTTGTTGTTTTTGTTCTTGTTCTTGCTGTTGTTGTTGGTGTAGTTGCTGTTGTTGTTTGCCAAAAGTCGTTCGCATTGTTGTCCCCTCAGCTGCAGCTTTTTTAGCATTCACATTCAATTCATCATCTCCATCATTAACCTCATCTTTCTCATCATCATCATCATCATCATAAGCTTTGTGGTTAACATAATCATTTGGTGGGCACGTTGCTGCTGCGTTATCGGTTATTGATGTTGCTGTTGTTGCTGTTTTAGATACATCCTTGGCTTGCACTGCCGCCGCTGAGTTGACAACAATATTTGCAGTCTCATAAATTTCAGGTAGCTTTTCATTTAAATCACTAATACTATCCAATAGTTTCACAGCATGATCATCTCCAGTTTGCTGCTCATTTCTCTTGTCGTTGCTGCTGCTGTTATTGATTTGTGTTGTGTTTGTAACTGGTGTTGCTGTTGCTGTAGTTTGCTTGTTATTGGTATCGGTGATTGTAGTAGCACTAATATCACTTAATGGTGGCTGTTGCTCGCGCACAGCCCCATCAACATCATCTTCTTCTTCATCATCCTCATCATCTTCGTCTTCCTCCTCTTCCTCGACATCTACGTCATCGTACACGTCGTCGTCTTGCACATTATTGCGCATGGACGCGACTGTATTTGGATTTGAATTTTCCGTATTCAATTTTTCATAGTTAGCAAATTGATTTTGCTTTGACTTATCGATATTATCAATATTAAGATCTTCGTATTCGTCCTCCTCGGCAATGTCATCGACACGCTGTTGCTGCTGTTCGTATAGCTCATCATCGCCATCGTCTTCGGCTAGATCGCGCCAGTAGTGCTTGTAATGCTTAAAATCCTCCGCGCTATTAGCATCTTCATCATCACCATTCTCATAGGACTCTTGGCTAGCCGTCTGTGGCTGTTGTTGCTCGGATTGCTGTCCATTGAAGGTCTTGAAGCCGCCGCTGTTATTGTAAATACTAGAGGCATTACGCGAAATCTGGCTACTACTGCGCATAGATTGTCTACCGCTATTGCGTGCACCGTTTCCGGCTACTGAGGAAATGCGTCCACCATAATTGGAGGAGGAGCTGTAACGTTGCGGTGCCGCCGAGCGACTGCGCGAGTAATGCGCCGGCGGCTTAGGATTGTAGTTGTCATCGCTGTTCGAATTCAGGTTGGACTGTGATGGCCGATAAATGTTAGGGCGCTCCTTCATATAGTCGTAACGCATGCTGAAGTGTTGCAATATAACGCGTTTTACGGCCATGGCCGATTCGGCGAACTGGGAAATCTCGCGTGCCGAATGGTGATTGCTATAATGAAAAAAAAAATACATTTATTAAATCATACAATTGTACAGTTTAAGAATCACAAATGAAGGACAAAGTATCCTCGATTAGAATTCTTATAATATTTTTCTTGATACTATAATCTAGATTAGGACTGTTTTTGAAAGCAATTCAGATTTGTTGTTTTCAATGAAAATTTCGATTCTAAACATTATTTTTGATTACGATTCCAAAAAAGATTATCATACAAATTATTTTTCTTCTTTTTAACGATAAATAATTGAGTTTATTTTAACCTACCGTTTAATATTGCAGGGCGTTTGTAACGCCCTATGACGCGCCACATACTCTTTGTCACTTGACGACTCCACATCACACATAAGAACCCAAGAATGATTCAAAACGGCTTCGGCACTTAAACGCTTAGAGGCCTTCTTAACGAGCAGGCGACATATTAAGTCTTTCGCCTCATCACTAACATCGTGCCATTCGGCCTCCGGAAATGAGAAATGTCCTAAAAGAAATATAAATATAATTAGATAGGAATATAAAATGAAAGAATGCATTTCGAAACGTACCCTCTTGAATGGACTCAAACAGTAATTCCTGGCAAGTGCGGCAATTTTCACCGCGATTCCAGCCGCAATCCTCTCCGCAGTTGCCCGAAAATGGTGGATACCCGCAGAGCAGGATATAAGCAATCACGCCCAGAGACCACAAATCGCAGCGTTTATCATAGTAGTTGGCTTCGCCAACGAACAGTTCAACAACTTCGGGTGCCATGAACTCGGCGCTGCCGACCTAAATAAAAGAAAAACAAAGAAAGTATAGTGTCAAGATCAAGAAAGTATAAAGATCAATCGTTCAATGACTTACTGGTGTCAGGAGCTGCGGGGTCGCTGCTGGTGATGAGATATCTGTGGTGAACTTAATGCCCGAACCCAAATCAAAATCACATATCTTAATCGGACACAACGAGTCCGGCTTTACGCACAATATATTCTCGGGCTTGAGATCGCGATGAGCTATGCCCTTCTTGTGCAAAAAATCCAGACCCGAGGCAATCTCCTTGATGATCTGCGCCGCCTCGTGTTCCGAGAAACAAATATGCTCCTGAATGCGTGTTAGCAAGGGCCCGCCATTGATTTTCTCAAACACCAAATAGAACTTCTCGTCATCTTCGAAGAATTCGATTAATTGCAAAATTCCCGGATGTCCCTGACAGTGATGGAATGTCTCCACTTCGCGAAAGACACGCGCACGCGCGTGTCCTGGTATCTTATCGATAACTTTCACAGCATATTCCAGATCGGTGTAAATGTTAACGCAAGTTTGTACCGAGGCATAAGCACCCTCGCCAAGTATTTCGCCAGTCAGTTTATACAGTTCTGCAGAGTATTGATTGCAAATTAGTTTACATATTAATGTGGTATTTAAAAATCAAATCCATACCTTGAAATGTAGACGAATGAAGCGAGGAGCTGATGCGTTTTTTGCGTCGTTTCTTCTGCATCTCCTCCTTGTGGCGATTCAGCTCCGCCTGCCTCTCCACTTCAGTCATATTGGGCGCTTCGCTGGACTCGTTGCCCGAGACATCCTCGCTGCTATAGCGCGTCAATTCATTGTGCCCGTCTTTAAGAAAAGAAATCAAATCGTTGAATTTTATTTCATTATGATGAAATAGCAACTAAATATTTCTCAAAGTTCAAACAACTGTTCTACACAAAGCCTAAAATGTAACTGACGCAAAGAATTGGCACACATTTCGAAATAACCCCTAGACAGTCGGCATTTGTCATCATTTAGGTTCGTTCCTACATACGAGTATATATTGAAAGCCACATGTGCGTCCCAAAGTTGTGTTTACACCACAAAATATAAATTAGAAATATTTCAGACTCAATCGAACCATTAAATAGGTAACATTCTAGCATTTCAGTTGATTTGATGGCAATAATACTGATGCTGGTGATATGAATATGAAAACAGAGTATTGGTAGAATTCCAGCATGAAGACATCTCTCTTAGAAATGCGCTCTCTTAAACTCTTTCATTTGTGCTCTTTCTCCATAAAATAAATCAGAAGTGAGAGATCTAATTGGGTTTCTTCCTTTACCGCATGCATATCATGAAATATTCTATGGGAAAATGCAAATACGTGCAGTGAGAAATTAAAACTATTTTATAGTTTTTTTTAATAAACAATTTCACATTTCATAAGCCAAAGGCACGTTTTATATTAAATAAATAAAAAAAGAACAAAAGCAACAAACATTTTATTGAACAACGCAGCGATTAAAAACGAATGCTTATCAATGAGACTGATATGTGCTAGTGTATATAAGAAGATATACATATGCATATGTGTCTGGTTTCGCATACCTGAACAGTTATAATATTAATACATATGTAATAAATATTCATGTACTCGTATATAATAGTCAAGAGATTGTAAACGCCAAAAATATTAATGCATGTACATATGTATACGTATAAGTGAAGCAGAATTTGAATTGTTAAAGTTCTGTTAAATGCCCTTATCATATACATATAGATTTCTATAAGGTTGGGTGAAAAAAAGAGAAATCTTTGCTGAATCAGGCAAATCATTTCCACACAAATTTATTGAATTTCACAAGTTCGTCATGAATATGTAGAATGTTACTTCAACTTCAAAACCAATAAGAATACTCTACAGCAATATAGTTTTCTGCTGGACTTAACAAACTTTCTTGATTTTTAAAAACAATCAATCTTCTACCTAAATTTCGCTTTTACTGGAGACAATGAAAGTTTGAACTCTGATAGATAGACGTTTTTATTGTTCTTCAAAAGCCACAATATTTCCTTCCCATATCCATACTATAGGTTTTCTTTAACAACAAATTTGCAGGTTATCCAGTCTTTATTTTATTCATTGAAATCTCGAGACCAGACACACTGGCAATTATAAGGTAGCAGCCAGCTATGGCTCGTGTGTCTTTAATTGTGGTCATAAAATAAAGAAGAACACATCGACAATGGCACAAGGGCCAGTGGTCGCCAAATGGGTGTATATTTTATGCTATTTTTAGAACACATTGAGGCGCACTTATAGCAATGATCGGATCAGTAGGACCGTTTGGAACGTTCGGGCAGGCGAGCGTTGAAGCGTGGGCCACCCATTGAAACGAATGAGGGTGAGGATGATGATGATGATGGCGATGGTGACTCGTAGCGAAAAAATATATACATATACAAGTATAATACTGTATATATAAAGATATATAGATGGATGTACACACATAATGCGTAATCAGTCAAATGGGCACTATAGTGGAACATGTAAGCAATCTAATGCTGATATGCATCGTTGCATTGCGCCCAGTTGGACTTTCAGCGAGGTAGTTGGCCTCTTCGTCGCTTTGCCATGATAATGCAAAACTCAATTGTGTCACAACATGGAGGGAGGGGGGAATGAAGACAATGAAGAATGGTTTTGTCGTGCTGTTTTACAAAGTACGCTCAAATGGTCGATGATCACATGATTGCTGGATCGTCTGTAGTTCATTCCAAAGTAGTTGCAGTTATAGCGACAAACTGCTGAGAAAGTTAATTACGAATATTATTGGTAGACATGGGGAGATGATAAAATAAATTAGCTTTAGAAACGGCAGCCTTTAAGAAAACTTTTTGAAAAAAGTGATGGTAGTTAAAATGTTCAAATACGTTTGAGGAACCCTGCTGAACACTCAAATTTAATAGTTCAAGTATAATATTTTATACCTTCTATAACTTTTTTGTTTTTTCTACTTAATTCGTCTAACATAAAACCTTCCTCTGCACTTCTCATATCGAATACTTTAGTCATTCAATTGCATACGTTTTTGAATTTTTCGTCTAATATAGCAGTTCTTTACTATTTTATATTTATGAGAAGAATTCTCGTTTTCAAATAGAATTTTAGGTAGACATAAATTATCTTGTAGAGGTTTTTCTTTTTACATTATAAGATTAAATTCTTTAATCAAATATTTTTGGGGGGTATTATTTATGAAATATTTGTTAGATTTGTTCCCAATATTAGCTTTTAATATATTAATTAATATAAATTATGATAAATATTTATTAACATAAAAAACCAATTTAAATTAACTGAGGCAAGAAGACGCCTATTTCTTTGAAAAACTAGTGGTTAAATCTGAATAATAATTTAGGAATAAGCCCTATAACTTTAATCGTTATCTATTAATGGTACGCGATGGAGAGCTGGCCTAACTTCTCTCAAATATTATCAGTTTACAGGAAAATCTAAGTAAGAAAGCATGACTATGCCAGTTGATGCGTTGAAAACTCCATATTGGTGGCAATATAAATAGAACTCAAGGTACCAGATGTTCAGAGTAAATCTTTTACAAAATTACAATGTAACCATGGCCATTCATCAATCCCTAACTCCCACTCCCACTGCAATAATAGAAAGAAGAGCTATTTATTTCATTCACTTATCTCAACTCAACATATGTATGTGCATATGTTCAACAACATAAAGTTGGATAAAGAACATACCATAGCCTCCCATATGTTAGTTTCTTCCGTTCTCAAGATTAATGTGCTAAATAGGCCGTGTCGTAAGCGTACAACGCGTTTGGTTCGAAGAAATTCTTTAAAACGCAATTCATTGCACAGACAAACAGTGTGATAATAAACAGGAATATACTATAAATGTTTAGACAAGTTTTTCACTTTTTTCCTCTACTCTGGCCTATAATAAAAATTGCAAGACTTCTTCTGATCGTTATCCACACCCAATCCCAATTCGCACTCAATTCGGTTGCTCTTTCCGTTCCGACAATTTTTGGGCAATGTGCAGACGTCATTCCCTAATGATTCTCTAAACTTTCGCATTTGTTTTTCGATCGCATATGTACGAGTATGTACGTTGTATGGTCGGTGTTTATTTTGTAGAATTGACTGCCGGTCGGTCGTCAATTATCCGGCACGCCTTGCCCTATCTTCTATATTATTGACGGCGTTGTTGCTGTTGTTGCTATCTAAATTTAAATTTGGCCTATTTAGCTAGCAGCGCTCGTTCTTATCAATTACGTAAATTAAATTCAAAAAGACATAAACGCGTGCACGAGAAATTAAAAAAACAAAAAAATATAAAAGAAAACAAATTAAAGAATTATATTGTATGGATGATGTTTTTTCTTTTCTTCTTGTTGTTTTTGTTGGCAACCGCTTCTGTTGTTGTTGTTGCTGCTAACGCTGCTGCTATGGTTTGGCGCCTATCGTGATATTATTTGCGCATTTCTTTAATACAATTTTTGCAAATCATTTTGTTTATTTCAAATTTCTTTTCTTCTTTTTTTGTGAATGATTTTTCACGATTTTTTAAGGTCTGTGAAAAATGTCTGAGGCCATTAGGTAATTAATTATAATTAATGAAGCGCCATTTGTTACAGAGTTGTGAAAAAAGAAAGGAAGAGTATCGGCACACGAAATGAAAAATGTGGGGTTTGTAATTTTTTCATTAATTTTGAATTCATATTTTCTATTTATGAAGTAGATAATAATATCCATTTAACCCGCCTACGTGCCAAGAAGATCGTTAAGAAAGGGTTACCTTAAGGCAATGCTGAGTACTAAATAGTAAGAAATTGGGAAAAATAATTTGCCGAATTACAAAAGGTTTGTAATTTTGTTTACTCCCTTAAGTCGTCTTTTTAAAATATGTATAGCAAATCAATCTTCTATTTTCATTACTTACAATATATACTTATCGAATATTGCGAGAATCGCCTGATGTCTTGCATTCACATACTAATATACTTAAATAATTTCATCACCCTATAACATTTTTTTATTTTCAAAACAAAAGATTAGGCTTGTCCGTAAACAACACTAAAGAACAAAGAAAACCTTATTGCCTACACTTAGTATATATAGCTGACGACATTAAAACGTCAAAAATATCAAACCGATCATCATAGTTTGAACTAAAACTAATCAAATTTGATTAATCTCTGGAAAAGATAAAGGTTTCTGCTTCAGGACCTCATTATGTGCGTCTGTCTATAATACTGAATTAATATCACTACATCAGCGAGACACAAAACAACACTTTATGCACAAATATGAACTTATTTCGTGCAGTAATCAATGGGCGATTATTGACTTATAAACAACAACCATACCGGGCGAATAAAACTGCCTACTCTGACCTGATTTCGCTTCGTGTTTTGTTTAGTTTGAAGTGTAATCTAAGCTGCAACAATTTGCATTTGGAAGCCATAGTAGGAAGAAAAGCGAAGAAAACAAAAACAAAACAAAAATGGGTTCAGCAATTTAAAAATAGTTTTTCATGTGGAAAAAGGGTAATAGAAAACAAATAATAAAATAAGTTCCAGTTTATTCCAGTACACCCAGCTGTGCCCACAGCTTTAACATAACACATAACGCCGACACAACAACAACAACAATCGAACGTGTTATCTCTAGCAGCTTGTGTATGCCGGCCGGCCGGTCGATCGTGCCGGGGGGGTTGGGGGTTGCGGTTTTCGACTATCTTGTTTGTTGGCGTGTGCGCGCGTTGTGGGCTTCGACTCATTTAAATTTATTGCGTCGTACTCCCGAGTCTCAGCGTCTCA